TGGCATCTCATTGTCCACAAGTACATGGCATCTGGTATGAAGTGCGACGCTCACGGGTTGATTGATTTAATTGACTTGTGGGGTTTAACGTCCCAAAACCACCATATGATTGTGAGAGACGCCATAGTGGAGGGCTCTGGAAATTTCGACCAACTGGGGCTCTTTAACGTGCACCCAAATCTGAGCACACAGGCCTACAACATTTCCGCCTCCATCGGAAATGCAGCTGCCGCCGCCGAGAATAAAACCCGCGACCTGCGGGTCAGCAGCTGAGTACCTTAGCCACTAGACCACCGCGGCGGGGCGTGAGGCTCTCAGGACGTCTTTACACTCTCCCAGAGTACAGTATCAAGTACTGTAAATTGATAACCACTTTTTTTAAACACACCTTTAGCTTGCCTTTATGGTAATGCATCATACAAGAAAGTCCATCACTCAGGCCTGCACTTCTACTTTCACTCCATGTGAGGAGTCTCTTAGGCGTTGCTGCTTATCATGACTCCGCTGGGACCATTAGTGAATGAAGAGTGGGCAACAGACCGTACGTTGACTTGCCTCCGCGAGACATGCCAGTGATCTTTCGATCCACTCTGAGCTACAAGCTACCCTTGAACTGCTGTGCAGCAGTTTCACGTCAGTGGTCTAACACCTATCACCGTAAAGAGCTGTTTGAATGGTAGTCGCAAGGTTTACAGAAGTGGCATAAAATCACCTGGTACGGCGGGCTCATAGCTAAGAATTATTTTACTGAATGTACAAAGTATTTTGAATAAAGAAACGGACTTAGAATTCTTTCTGAATACATGCATGGGTCGGACGGCAGCATTGAAGAAGCACTGCAAGCGGCAGTGCATTGCGTCGAGAAACACGTCAGTCAGATGGTCCTCCGTCTCCCACCTTCTTAATCAGAGTTGCTCCTATATCGTCCCACTAAGAGGAGACCGAAGACTAGAGGGTGGAGTCCTCCCAAGGGGACATATATCAGGGTACGAACTTCATCCAAGTGCGAGATCCCCAGGATTCATTCTTTCCGAGTGCTAGGCATGATTATTGAAGCTAACGGTCAGCACGGGCGTACTATAGATAAGCTTACAGGGCATGCTGAAGGAGTACTCAGACTCATTGCAAGGGTTTCCAATAAAAAAGGGGGGCTTAGAGAAGATAATCTACTCAGGCTATTTCATGCATTCCTCATGAGTCATGTGAATTATGTTACTCCCATGCACAGATGGCAGAAAAACGAGATTAACAAGCTGAACACTCTAATGAGCAAGTGTATTAAGAGAGTCCTCGGACTCCCATGCACACACGCACAAAAAACCTAGCAAGACTTGGCATACACAACACATTGGAAGAAGTGATTGAAACTCAGCAGAGCGCACGTATTTCCAAACTCTCGTCTATGACGGCTGGAAGGGGAATCCTGACTAAGGTTGGGCTCAGTCCGACGAATTTAAAGGATAGGACCAGTCAGCTTTTGGATAGTGTGCGACAGGCTATTACAGTCTGCCCTATTCCAAGGAACGTGCATCCAACTTTCAACGCTGGTAGGAGGACGGCTCGCGCTTCTGCGGTACGCGCATGCGCATGAGGCAGAGTCGTGTTTTGTAGACGCTGCCCAGTACAAAGGTGACTCCAATCTCTTTGTTGCTAACGTTGTGGACCTAAAGGGACGCGTGTTATCAGCCGCGTCAATCAGCATGTCGTCGGCTTGTAAGGCAGAGCAACTGGCCATTGCACTGGCAATCCTCAGGTCGGACAGAGAAGAGATATTTACCAACTCGACATCAGCTTTTCGAGCTTTCTCAGCTGGGGTTGTTTGTGAGGAAGTTGCTAGGGCACTTGAGGGTAAGGTGCTGACTCATCACGTCATTACGTGGTTCCTGGTGCACGAAGGCGCCGAGGTAGGGGGGTTGGCCAACGTCAATGAGTTGGCCCATGCCCAGGCGCGAGGTCTTGCCGGCCGTACCGGGCACTGGGAAGCCGGTGCGCCGGGTGGGACCGGCGACAGGCTTGGTCCGGCCCTTTCGGAAGCTGACCCACCCCGCTTCAGGGACATTCTCTCCACCTTTAACGAGATCACTAGCCACTACCAGATGAGCTGTAGGGCTTTCCCCTTGCCACATCGAAATCTCACGAGGCCCCAGGCCATGACTTTCAGGCTTCTGCAGACAAAGCCGTATCCCACACTCTCCGTCTTCAATAGGTACACGGAGGTCTCCCCTCTGTGTCCCGACTGTGGGGCGCTTAGCGACTTTAAGCACATGCTCTGGGCGTGCCCCTCTTTGCAGCACCACACAATCCACGGCTTGACGCAGGAAGCCTTCTCTGCTTTCCTCACGAGCCATGACTGGTTTGACCAACTCCGGGCTGTCCAGAAGGCCCTTGATGCGGCGGTGAGGCTTGGCCTTCCTGTCCCAACGTGAAAGCGACCCGCAGTCTTGCCCCTATAAAAACGGGGTGAAGATTCTTCCGGACCCGAATAAAGTTAACTATCTGTCTATCTAGCTTTTAGTTTTAATGCCGCTCAAGAATAAGTACTACTTCTAGACAGCGTTGTGTGCAACGGGAGATGGATTTTCTCAGTAACATCCTTCTGCTGTCTGCGTCCCCTCAATTAAACTGTGCAGTTCAAAACCTGTGATGAAATGATAACTGTGCATTCGTATGACGTTAAAACATTATTGCAAAAAGTTTTGCCAGTGAGTTCTGTGATGAGGAAGTTAAAGGGTGTAGAGAAAGCCGCTTCAGCTGGTTTTATTTTCTCGCTCAGCCATCTCGCCTTTCTGTGCAGCGAAGAGGGACAGGCGTGGCCAACTGTAGTCACTACGCCCACTTCAGCACAGTAACACCGATGTCAGTGATTGCGTCATTGGCAGTTGCTGACACCGGCTGGGCAAGGCTTCCTTCACGTGTTGCTCGTGTCAGGGCGGAGTGGTGAAAAAGTGCGGAGCATGTGCAACCAAAACCATCTCAGCTCAGGGCCAAGGTGCCGTTTGGCAGTGCAGAGGACAAAATCGACGAAGTTGGTGCTGCAAAAAGCTGCCCACAGGGAACATTGCGTCACTTCACGTATGAGGAGCATTGGATGGGTGCTAGAAGAGAGAGGCAAAGGAACTTTTTTTTAAAGGGAATGTTTTGAAGGCGCGCAGTGCTGTGATATCGTGAAGCAACGTTATGAAGTATCATAAACCGTTATAGCCGGGGCTTGTTGAACGAGTTGTCGAGCTTGTTTGGGAGATGTAGAGGAACAAATTCAGAGCTTGTTTACTGGCCCTTTAAGGAGTTACAATTGGGGTCTTACTTCAAGCCACAATTTATTTATTTATTTTTATTTTGAATACTGTTAGCCCTATCGAACTGTTACAGGGTGGGACAGTTTACAATACATAAAAAGTTAATGCAAACAGTATACAAATATACAGACAGCACAGCACAAACAGCACAACACAAACTAAAAAACCAACACACACAGGTATACACAATGCGAACAAAAAATTATACAAAACAATAGCACTGCAGTTATACATAAAGAAATTTCAATGTTATACACCGATTGACTGCCCTTTTTCATCAAAACTTTAGAGTTAAAGCACGTCATCAAATATTTGCAGGCTTAGTTTATTCCAGCAGCTTCACCAAAAAAGAATGCTTGCAGGCATCAACTCTGGATACGTAGGGTCACACAACATAAGGATGGTAGGATCAAGGTGATATTCTGCCTGGAGCCCGCAAGTAGAGTGTGGGATCGATGTTTAGCATGCCATGATACAGTTGATGAAAAATCTTTAGTCTTGCTATTTTTCTGTGTGAAGCTAAACTTGGAAAGTTTACCTTATAATCAATGCAGTGACTGATTCAGTCCTTCGGTACTTCGAAAAAATAAAGCGTGCAGCAAGGTGTTGCACTCACTCCATCTGATTTATTAGAGTTAGTCAGTACGGGTCCCACACTATACAGACGTACTCCAGGGTGGGTCAAGCAATCGTAGTGTAAACCTTAAGCTTTATATCAGGAGATGCCTGTTTTAATTTGCATTGAAGCATTCCCAGCTTTCGCTGAGCTGATCTACAAATGTTGGCAACATCCTCACTCCAGCTTAAGTTATGGGTGATAGTAATACCTAAGTACTTCATCTTCATTGCTCGCCGAATTTCTGTACTCCCAATTTTGTAAGCAAATTGTGACGGTAATTGCTTTGTTTTGACATTCATGCAGACTGATTTTTCAAAGTTGATTTGCGTGTCATTAACTACACACCAATCGTAAATTCTGTTTAATGATTCATTTAACAATGATTGTGCATGGGCACTCTTAACATGGCAAAATGAGTAGCAGTCACGTATAATAAACTAGATTACGAATCCTGGACCTGCGTATCCTTCTGAAGTGCTTTTGGCAGTGAAGCTATTTAAGCTAGTCGTAATGTGTTTGGCCTGTCAAACGCTGCTATCATCATGAACAGTTACGAGCAACAAAAATTCGATAAATTATGCTACTCACCATTTGTGCATTAAAAGTGAAGGAGGCAACAGTTAGCCCAACAAATGGCTACGAAGTGAAGCCAGTTAGCCAAATGCGTACGAGGGAGTACTAGGGAACAGAAAAGGCAATGGCTGGTGCGATGAGAGGTGTGAACGCTTGGTTTCGGTGCTAGTTTCTGTCTCGGGAGTATCTGTGTCGTTCTAACTCGAGCCTCTTGCACCGAGAATCAACGTAGAAGCAACTTTTAATCACCGAGCTGAAACCTATAAATAGCCTTACAAGCAACAAGATAAGTCTTCAGAATCGTCCAGCCTTGCTGTTTTAAGCCTAGTGCTGTTAAGTGTAAGCTTCACCCTCTTTTTTTTTTACTTTCTAATTATCAGCGGTGAAAGTCTGTCTGGTTGCCACCACTGCATCATTACAAATTTTTCTTTTTTAAAAAACTGACTGATTAAATAGAATTGTCCAAGCTAATTCTCAGTGCAGCGGCTTCAGCCCCACTTTGTTTACCTCAGGTACATGCACGAGCGACTGCAGCTTGCCCAGGAGGAGAAGTCCTTGCTCACAGCATCACTGAACAAATTCAAGGTGGGTTTTTTAGGTAGTTAAAAATAATTGCTAAAAGAATATTTGACCCTATGGTTGGTCAGCTACCATGGGAAGCATGCACAATGAATAAACTTGTCTAGCCTTACTGCTTGCAGCTTCTAATCTTTTCATGAATGATTTCTTTTTCATGTTTTTGTCTTTCCCAATTTCTGAGCAATTGAAGTTTTCTTCAAGTTAGCAGTAAGATGATGGGTTTTGTGTACTTATTGTATAGCAGACTATTGCATTTACAGATGTGATATGTTATTGGAAATAAATCACTTACAAATTTAACTCACAAATTTATTTAACGCCTGAAGAACGGAGTCGAGGTAAATCAGCATTATGACTGAACTGCTAAGTTGGCAGCTCCCGTATAGAATAGAACTAGATCAGTAGATCTCAAATGAGGGTTGGTGGAGCCATCTACAAGAATCCAGCAAAGTCATCCTCAAAAAGAAAAAAAGAAAAAAAAAAAGCACTCTTGAAAGCCACATTTTAACAAACTCCTTCAGACTTTTTTTTTTTATTCTTCACCGCATAACATTCCATCATTGCAGGCGAGCTGACTTACGTTTTCCTTTCCTCATAAGATGACTGCAAAGTTATTGGTTAGAGAAAGTTATTTTCCATTATATATATTCACCCAAGCATACTTTTTCTAGGATTGCGTGTTTGTTAAGCAACAGGTTAAATGTGGCTGCAGAACATGCAACCCTTCGCATTTGCATGACACTTCAGTTTCAGCATTCTTTTCCGGTGAGAAATAGAGGCATCTATTTCACGCTTTATGTTGTGTTAACTTGTAATCCCCTCCCCCCGACTTTTCTGTTACTGCAAGAGGTCCCTCATCACTCCTGCTGGTTCCCAACGGGTCTCCAAATTATCCATGGCTGAGAACTGATGAGCTAGAGCTTGATCGAGTAGATCCAACCATTTGTGTCCTTAATCTTGTAGTAAATAGGAAAAAGTAGAAGCTCAGACAATGTTGTTTGTGCAATTGTACAGTGTCTGGTATTTATAAGCTTATAATGTTGTTGTACAACTATCACGTGAAATATCATCTTTTTTTCTGTATGTAACATTGGTTTGTTGATTCGGGAAACACCGGGTATTGCTTCATCAACCCCCATGCTATCAACCCCCCCATATATATATATATACATATATATATATTCAGTACACTCTCAGTAAACGGAACTCCTGTTAAATGGAACATATTTTCCTGATCCCTTCAGATTTCATTAAATGAGAGAGTCTACTGTATATGAAGTGTATTGCTGCAATATTAGATATTGGCAATGTCGACCAATGTCTTTATTTCTGGCTCGCACTTAGTTCTTCATCAGCCTTCAGTAGTACTGTTCAATATGCAAATTAAAACACATTAATGTTTGTACGGTATTTCCAAAATAAATTTAGAGGGTACTTAGTAGTTATTTTCAGTTTATGTTGACACATCTGAGCCATGTTCACAGTGCTGAAGATACCAGTGCCAGCGGTTTCACGTGCTAGAGCGACAATATGATAACGAAGCTCGTCATAGTCAAAGGTTCTCCTAATTTCGGTCATCGGGTGTTTCTTAACATCAGGCACTACACGGACTTCTAGCATATTTACAGTCATGCCCTCTTGTTCAGCTGATAGAAACAATCAAGGTTTTGTATGTCAAGATGCGTTTGAATATTACCTTAGTGCTCTTAGTTCAATTGTGCACATTTTTTCATTTCCTGTGGCAACAGAGCTTGGTGGAGAAGAATCGTGGTCGCGCCAGCACAGCAGCCCTGGCCGGGGTTTCGAGCAAACAGAGTGAGCACTTTGACTCACTTCTGATTCTGTTGTTGTGCATGCATTCTGCAAAGTTTCTTGCGGTGAAATGATTTCTCTCTCTTTGGTGCTGGCTTTTGTGTCTACTAAACACCTGCATGGTGTATAGGCTTGAAAGTATGACATTGAAGGCTAGTTACCACTCACGGGCAAAAGCAGGACAAGGAGTACGCGGCACACGCTTTGACAATCGACTGGTTTTTGTACAAAAAAACGAGGAAAGTGATTGGATCACATGAGACACACTGGAAAGGATGTGGAACAGATTTGGCTCATGCCTCTTAATTGTACTTGTGCATACTACTTCTCATTTCAGCTTGCCACATGTGCTGACAAGTTATCATGTCTATCAGGGACCAAGGCCATATCGGTGACTGATCGAATCTGTTTTGTTTTTGCTTTTTATTTAATGTGAAATGCTTGAATTATTTCTTTAGCTAGCTGCTGTCTATGCCTGGAAAGTGAATTTGGGTTGGTCAAATAAGTGCAAACCAATCAGCTCAGTTTTCAATCCCAAGTTCATTGAAGGTAGATCTATCAGGGAAACTCTACGAAAAGTCACAACTTATTCGTGCAGGGAAATATCTTTTACTATGCATCAAACTGTATTAACAGGGCAACATGACACTAACACAACTGGGTGTTGGTCTGATGTTAAGAATATAAATATTTTTTTTACCATTTTCTTCACTGATGACTACATTGACTCGCCATGCTTGTCACTGCCCTGCGTCATGCAGTGCAGCAGCTGCTTCAGGACAGCTCGCTGGACCTCAGCACAGCGGGGGCCGACCTGCGTAACCTGGTGGCCCTTCTGCTAGAGGCTGTCAACGACCGAACCCTGGCACTCAACCACCAACGAAAGGCCAACAAGTGAGTTTGTTAACTAGAGATCTTGAGGTGCTAGTCGAGACAGATTTATTAGGAAGGCACACTTTACCGAAAGGAAAGGTCCCACATGTGTCCCTGAAACATCGGTCCTTTGTACTCTACCAAAGTACAGTAGACTCATTTTAAACGAAACCTGAATGGACCAGAAAAATGTGTTTCCTTTAAGAGGAGTTTCGTTTACTGAGAGATAAACAGGGGTACAATATCCAAGTAGGAAACCAAAAATATTAGTGGCAGCTGTCCCCATTTAAGCAGCAATTTCATTTAAGAGAGTTTTGGTTAAACGGAGTCTACTGTACTCTTGTATGGCGCAAAGTTGTGACAGTGTTGACAAGTTTTTATTGTCTCTACATTTGCCTTGTGCTGTGTGTGTGTGCAAAAATTTTATTGTGCCCCACCCTTATACTACAATAAATCGTTTCACTGTCCAGTACTTTGCATATGCTTGCATTCTTCCTTAAGTCTGTCATGAAACTAGCATCCCAAAAATTGGGTTAGCTATAATCTACAGGTTCTCATACCTGTCAGTCTTGTTTGAGCTTTGCTAGCTTTCAGAAAACTTTCATGAATTTCGACACATTTGTTCCTCTCTCTGATTTTTCGTTTGTACACATGACTCCAATTAATTAGATTAACTATAAAAGAATACACACAGAGTACAGTGTATCATGTATTCCTATCAACTTGACACCTGCTAGAATTGATTAAGAAACATGTGAAATGAGCAATGACTGGCCAACTGCAATGAGGCAATTAAAGCACAGGCTCTCTATAACTTCGTGAGAGACACCACTCTTCGAGCTCATGACAGTGATGGGGAGGAAGGGAGGAAAGAAAGGCAGGAAGATAGTGAAAGGAAACCAAAGAACACCCGGTGTTTGTGCATTTCAGGAGAACAAGGCTGGATAGACAGCAACCCTGTCATGTTCACTCAAAATTATCGCAGGTCACATTCCTATCATAAAATAATAGTAGTCGCAAAGTGCATTCCAGTATGAAGAGGTGTGTGGCAGTGTAATTGCTGCTCATATTGTGGCAATTATATCTCATTAAAACTAACTGCAACGAAATTTGACTTGGGCAGAATCGGTAGAAATTCATAGTACTGTCGAATCTCATTAATTTGAGCACGCTTAATTCAAACTTCCGGTTAATTTGAATTCACGCTGAGGTCCCGTCAAAGCTATGTGTATTCCATTGGGCGAAAGTGCCCTGTAATTCGTACGTGCAAGCTCTTGCGACGGTTAATTTGAACATAACGCGCTCTGAAAATGCTCTCAGCACGACGCCCAATCCCGCGGCAACACCTCCGACTCCTCAACGCTGCACGCAAAGGAAAAGAAATGGATAGGAAAGGCTGTGGTGGAATGTTCTCTCTCAAATGCCGATCTGCGACGCGCCTGTGCCACGCTTCTCCATTTTTCCGTTCCTGCCACATAAAGGCCCTTCTCCTTTCAACACCGTGTGCAAACAGAAAGAGAGAAAAAGAAAAAGCTGCCACGGAGGGTTGGCTCTCTCTCACGTGCAGGGGCCGGGCTTCCCCCTTTTCCGTTCTGCCATATAGAGGCTTCTCCTTTCATCAATGCTCACGAAAAAAACAAAAAAAAAAAGCTGCCATGGAGTGTTGGTTCTCTCTCAAATGCTGATCTGCTTCTCTTCCGTGTTGAGGCGCTCCTCTTTCTCATCATGTGCTGGCCACACTTCGGCTGTGGTGTAGAGAGTGTTAGCAGAGACGCAGTTATTGCCGTCATCTCTAGAAAGTGTTGGCGCTAGACATTGTCGCGCGCAACTTCTCTTGCCACGAGAATGCTGAAGCCGAAGTAGAAGTACATTACAAACTGCGTGCCAAATTGATTGACTCACTGTAAGGCAAACGTGTGCAGATGCGCATCATTGATTACCTTCAATTAATGATGGATGTCCTTGTGATTTGTGAATAAATGTAAATTTTCTGAAACTTCCCCTTCGTGTGTTAGCTCAATGCACATGTGCCACTACATGGTGAGCCCTCCGTTCATTTAGCTTTCATTAATTCGAACTTCCTTTAATGCAAACAAATTTTCGGGCCCCTTCGAGCTTGAATTATCGAGGATCGACTGTGTATTGTGACGGGGTCATGACGTGGCCGAAGACAGGAGACTTTGCGTTGGAATTTAACTGTTTACTTGGGCGAACCTGTGCCCGGTAAACGGAAAGTCCGATTACAGTAGCAGTCTTGAACTGATAGCGGCGAATGGAGCGTCGGCCGTCGATCAACTAATGACAAGCGGCGAAGCGCGTCGGCATTTATACTCTTGCCGTCGAATGTTCTAGCGTTATCGCTGGCGGTAGCGTAGGTTCCAGAATAATCTGTACCGTTCGCAGAGTGGGCGTGATCTTATCGAAATGATCTACTACAGTCCGGAAGCTTCTCGAAAACTGCAGGCGCGGTTTGCGCTGAGAATCGTGTAGTGTTTTGGGACAATAACAAAACTTGGGAAATGGAACGTGGCATTGCCCCCCTCTGAAAAAGGCATTGTCCCGATGCTTTAACTAAAGATGAAGGTACAACAATAATGCAAGAAAGTACAATGAATAAATTACGATACAATAACAATAAAAAAAAACACTGTTTCAGTTTGTTAACGCGCATGAAACGGCTTTAGGCGCGCGACATGGACGACTTCAGGTCGCGATCGGCGTCGTTGAGAGTTCGTGATGCCGTCGGGGACAACCTCGTAATCAAGTGGGCCGAGACGTCGAACCACCCTGTACGGTCCGAAGTACCATCGCAGAAGCTTTTAACTTAGTCCACGTCGGCGACTCGGCGTCTACACCCAAACACGTTCACCAGGCTGGTATTCCATGAAGCGTCGTCGAAGATTGTAACAGCGGCTGTCGGTCGTCCGTTGATTCTTGATATGGAGACGCGCGAGTTGTCGGGCTTCTTCGGCGCGTTGAAGGTGCTCACTCACATCGAGGTTTTCTTCGTCGGTGACGTTGGGTAACATGGCATCGAGCGTCGTTGCCGGGCTCCTTCCGTAGACCAATTTGTATGGAGATATCTGCGTTGTCTCCTGCACTGCCGTGTTGTATGCGAAGGTCACATACGGAAGAATGGCGTCCCACGTCTTGTGTTCGACATCGACGTACATTGACAGCATGTCGGCAATTGTCTTGTAAAGCCGCTCGGTGAGGCCGTTGGTCTGTGGGTGGTACGCTGTCGTCCGGCGGTGGTTTGTCTGGCTGTATGCCAAGATCACTTGAGTTAAGTCGGCAGTAAATGCCGTTCCTCTGTCGGTGATGAGGACATCCGGGGCACCGTGACGTAGGACGATATTCTCGACGAAGAACTTAGCTACCTCGGATGCACGGCCTTTGGGCAGGGCTTTTGTCTCGGCATAGCGGGTGAGGTAGTCGGTAGCTACCACGATCCACTTGTTTCTGAAGCCGACGTCGGGAACGGCCCCAGTAGGTCCATACCAATCTGCTGGAAAGGTCGGCAAGGTGTTTCAATTGGCTGCAGAAGTCCCGCTGGCCTTGTCGGCGGTGTCTTGCATTGCTGACAGTCCCGGCAAGTCCTCACATAACGAGTGACGTCGGTGGTAAGACGTGGCCAGTAGTACCTTTCTTGTATCCTCGCGAGCGTGCGAGAAACACCGAGGTGCCCTGCCGTCGTCGGATCGTCGTGCAGGGCGTGCAGGAGTTCTGGTCGCAGAGCTGAAGGCACCACAAGGAGGTACTTAGCTCGAAGCGGTGAAAAGTTTTTCTTTTGTAGAAGACCGTTTCGCAGGAAGAACGATGCAAGTGCGCGCTTGAACACCTTCGGGACTTCGGCGGTCCTGCCTTCGAGGTATTCTATTGGGGCCTTAAGTTCCGGGTCGGCCCGCTGTCATTCAGCGAAGTCGTCGGTAGTTATCGTTCCCAAGAAGTAGTCGACATCCGGGTCGTCGGGTAATAGTTGGTCGACAGGCGCACGAGAGAGACAGTCGGGGTCGGAGTGTTTCTTGCCGGACTTGTAAATGACAGTAATGTCATATTCTTGAAGTCTCGGGCTCCATCGTGCGAGGCGACCTGAAGGGTCCTTCAAGGTGGCTAGCCAACACAAGGCGTGGTGGTCGCTCACAGCTTTGAAGGGCCTGCCATAGAGAGAGGGGCGAAATTTCGACGTAGCCCAGATGATGGCGAGGCGCTCCTTTTCTGTTATGGAATAATTGGCTTCTGCTTTGGATAGCGAGCGGCTGGCATTACTAATAACCCTTTCAAGTCCGTCAGCCCTCTGCACAAGAACGGCGCCAAGACCTACGCTGCTTGCGTCAGTGTGTATTTCTGTCTCGGCGAATTCGTTGAAATGGGCAAGTAACGGAGGCGTCTGGAGGCGATGTTTAAGCTCCTGGAAAGCGTGTTCCTGTGGCGTTTCCCACTTGAACTCCACGTCGGCCTTGGTAAGGCTCGTGAGAGGACCGGCGATGTGGGCGAAGTTTTTCACGAACCGCCTATAATAGGTGCACAGGCCCAGAAATCGGCACACCGCCTTCTTGTCAGTGGGCGGCGGGAAGTCGGCGATGGCGGCTGCTTTCCATGGATCGGGACGAACTCCAGACTTGCTAATAACGTGCCCCAGGAACAAGAGCTCCTCGTACGCAAATCTGCACTTTTCTGGCTTCAGTGTGAGTCCAAACGTCTTGATGGCTTGAAGTACAGCTTCAAGGCGCCAAAGATGCTCGTCGAAACTCGAGGAAAACACGACGACGTCGTCCAAGTACACAAGGCAAGTCTGCCACTTCAATCCTGCCAGTACTGTATCCATTACGCGTTAAAAAGTTGCAGGCACTGAGCAAAGGCCGAAGGGCATCACCTTAAACTCGAAGAGGCCGTCCGGTGTTATAAACGCCGTCTTCTCTCGGTCTCTTTCGTCGACTTCGATTTGCAAATAGCGAGTCTTGAGAACCATTGACGAAAAGTACTTGGCGTTGTGGAGCCGATCAAGTGCGTCGTCTATT